CTGATGTGGCCACACACCGATGGAAGAAGGACAAGCAGGTACAACAAGGGTTCACAAAAAAATGGTGAGCATTCGCCACCGGTCAGGTGATGCGATGCAAATTATCCTTCTTGACCAAAGTCGTTCTTGAAAGCCTCCAGTTTTGTCAGGTCTGCTTTATTTACAGTAGGTTTCACTGTCGCCAGCGATCTCAGCATGTCTTGCTGAAAAAAAAACAGTAATGACAAAAACGGTCAAAAGGAAGATAAACAAAACAGATATTAGTGAAAGTAATTTTTCCAAGCAATACTTGAACATCGGTACCGATAAGAATTCAGCTCGGTAACTATTATGGTATGCACTTACCATGGTCAGGATAGGCTCTGCAAGCTTATCTCCAGGTACATCCAGCCAACTCATAGCCACTGCTCCACGATCACCAGGGCTACAGGGCGTCAAAAGATCATGGACCATTACCGAAGGGTCCGTTCGGGATGGACCGCTTACATATCTAAAAATTGCAGTTAGACACTAGTAACCGCCATTCCATGACCATAACAACTGTGTAACGTGTTCCTCGTCTAAGTTTTGACATGTCACCTAGAGAATCACTCAGCGACCCTCAAGAATATGTAGCATGGTTACTTTTGACGTATCTTCATCACTAAGCTGTGATTACAGTACAAAAAAGGAGATGAATTATGCGCTCAGAATGAGAAAAATTGAGAAAAGATAAAGAAAAAGGAAGGAAGAACGACTATCGATCAGTAGTTTTGCAAGGAAAATAGATCTTCTCTAGCTGCTAATTCCTGCCTGCTAATTCCTGGCTACTAGCGAACTTACTTGAAATGTGTAGCAGATTGCACACGACGGACTGGTTGCATCAAGGCATCTTTGACGAGGATATTAATATCATATCCGGAATAGCCTTCGGTTTTCTCGGCAAGGATCTAAAAGTTTATACGTCTACATTTGAGGCAAATTCCACGAAGATATACATTTAAAAAGGGAAAGAAAACTGAAAATCAATACAGAGGAGGAAATGAAAGTTCAATTAACTATCCTACCTTGTAGTCGTTGTCAGTCAAATTGTTATTATTACGTCCAACATCCAAACGGAACATATCTTTACGAGCATTCATTTCAGGTAGTGGAATGTAGATTCTTTTCTCAAAACGTCT